CCCAAAACCCCAAAACCCCAAAACCCCAAAACCCCAAAACCCCAAAACCCCATTTCATTATTTTTCACAATTTCTCAACAAATAAAGTAATTTAAATATAGAATATAATAGCAATTCTATTAATAAATGAAAAGAAATTTACGAATATTAGTAGCATCGCTTACTTTTTTTACTTAATATACAAAAGCCCAAACTTTTTGTTATGATTGCCTTTAGTAAAGCACAAAGAAAGTTTGTTACGTGGGGCCAACATCAGCTAATTGCTGCTCAGGGGCTGATTGCTTTGCTTCAGCAACTACAGGAAAAACTGAGTCTTTTTGCTCAGACAAGGCAAAGACTACGTCAATGAGGTATATGTTTTGTCCTTACGACTCCAGCTCATGTATGGCAAGTGATCCTTATCTCATAAGTGTGATGGATGCCTAACAAACTATGTATACTCCAGTCTCAAGTTTCTAAGCCAAAGAGTATTGTTACTGGGCTGTTGCTCCTCCTAATGAATACTAAGTTGATGTTATTTTGAAGATTAGAATAGAAACTCTTTATCAAGCTGACTGCTATTTAAATTTTGGAGGCTCTATTACTACAGCTGATTAACAAACATAATGTGTCGAAGGATAAACATATGAGTTTAACTATTTTGAAAAAGGCCAAGTTTCTAATATCTATATAGTGTCAGTTGCAAAAGCTGATAATGCTCATATTAGATTTACATATTGGGCAGAGGCAAAGTTATCATTTGCCTCTTTAATAGGCATAATTACATCTGGAATAGTATTTCTGACTTTATTAATCTTATTGAGTCTCTTTTTCTTTATTGACTTCACAATCAAAATAAGCTTAGGTCCCACTGTGGACATAGTTAGAGATCAATTTACAAATACTATAGAGAAAATTGAGCCAGGAACACTAAATGATGGGCCTAAGGAATCTCAAAGTGACTTGAGTCGATTGAATTTAATGAAGAATGCATGAATTAACAACCAGTATAGCAATGAACTAACTGAGATGTGATGAAATATTTTGTCATCAACATTCTCCAATTGGATAATTGAGTTAGTAATAAACACAATAAGCAATCATTAAACTGATATAGATAATAAGAATGCCTTGTACATAATTAAAATTCTATAGGTCTATTAATATTTTGAATTAAAATTTTCATCCATAAATGCATTTACAAAAAGTTTACTATGGGGTTTTGGGGTTTTGGGGTTTTGGGG